GGGCAATGCTGACATGCAAAGTTAAGTAACCTGCAGTAACCAACCAGGATTATTATCTTAACTGATCTCATGCAAGGAAATGCTGTGAGGTTTGTAGATATGTAAATGTGTATATTCTATAGATCTTTAGAGGGATCACCAACACCCAGGGATGTGGTGGTACTGACAGTGACTTATAAAATAGGACTAACTGAGACATGTGGTACAGAGGACAAAATTGTGTTACTTATTCTCCTCACCAATTAGAACGTACAAAAAATTCCAAAACTGCACTAAAGGACTTAATATTAATATATGCAAGGGTTATAGCTGAGATTTTGATTACTAGCTTTGAGATTGTGGTAGTAAACCCTGAGCTCCCCAATCTATATTCACAAGTAGCATATTTATTTTAAGTAATTCGTGTTTCTTTTGCAGGACTGGGCTAGTGACATTATGGCAATAGTCAGAAATCCCCTTCAAATCAATGCGTCACGCTACTCCTTTTATGAGAAAATGTAAGTGTTGTTTCCCTTTGCCCTTTAACATTGTGAAACATTCCACACTTCTCACCAGCACTTCTGCTATGTAAATGTCTGACCAAACGTTACTGAAAAAAGACAGTAGAACTCTCTGCCTACTTTCTGCCTATCACCTATTTTTAGACAATAATACAACAGAAAAGAGACATTAGCCTTAATGTTCATGTGATGATCATGTCTAATGGTAGCTCCAGACATATGTAGACCACAACTCCAGATGGACATATCGATGTATTGTATTGATTGAATGTGTTTCTCCCCGGGTTAGGCTGGTGCTGTAGGGGGTCTGATCAGGGGTCTCCCTTACACCCCCATAGCATAACATGAATGGTCATGGACAGAGGGATAGACCAGATTTTAAAAATGTTGCATTACTACAGTAATTATTTTACCATAATAATCTTGTGAAACAGTTTTGCATGCAGAACAGTGGCAGATTAAGGCAGAATAAGGGCCCTAGGATGCAGCTTTGCCTCCCCTCCCTATCCCTTTGATTGGCATTGATAAAGATTGCAATGGGCACAACCTCTCTAAATTCCCTGAAAGCCATATATGAAAAGTGACACTTTTTTACACACACTAAGCCTGACAGATGGCCAGATTAGTCTTGGGGTACAGGGTAGGGACATATCTGCCCCTCTTCTGTAGCTCTAGTACACGCTGATGTTTCTCATGTGACTAAAGAGTAGACATGTGCACTGCCAAAAAATTTGTTTCGTTTCGTTTTAAATTCGGATTTGTGTTATTTCGTTTTTCGGGATTCGGGTGTGAAAGTCAATTCGGATTCGGAATTCGGATTCGGACGAAATTCGGTAGAGGTAGGTCGAACGTTCGTTTTGTTTTCTGTTCTTATTTGTTTCTTATTCGTTTCGTTCGTTCGTGACATTTGAGGGGGAAAAAATATTTTTCTCCTTCTCTAATGTCACTTTGCTCCAACGAACGAAACGAATAAGAAACAAATAAGAACCGAAAACGAAACGAACGTTCGAACTACCGCTACCGAATTTCGGAAATGGAAATTCGGATTCGTTTGCATTCGTTATGTCTGTAATTCGGAATGTCCGAATTTCCGAAAATTCGTCCGCATTTCGATTCGGAACGAAACGAATCGCACATGTCTACTAAAGAGGGTCACATGCAGTTAACACTTTTCCTATTTCCTTTCTAACTGAGAAGATGGATATATCTGTCAGGGCACATAGGCATATTTTAAAAGTCGTAAAGTCTCTGAGAGTGATAGCAATTATATTCTGAGGTAGCCCTAAATAGACTAACCCTTGCTTGGGTCTTTATTTTGTGCTGGACTGAGGGCTTTATCTGGACCATAGACTACCAAATCTGTCCTGTCTTAGATTGGTATCTCTATTGTTTATGAATGACAGCTGAAAGTTAAAGGAGGGCTGAAGCCCCTGAGCAATTCAGTAATAATGTCAGGCAGAAGGAAGTCGGCTGAAAGAGATAGTGGGGTATACTACTTTAAAGTAAAGGTGGAGTAGAACCTACACAAGGGCCTGGAGGTCAGATGCCACTTCCTCACAAAATAAAAAGTTATATTTATCTTAATATAACTACTATCCATACAGAGTGCTGTTCATATTAGGCATATTAGGTATCTGAGAAGTCTATGGGTAAATAACAACTGGGCAGATCAGAGAACTTGTCCTGTCATTGTTCTCCCCTGAATTACAGCAGTGAGAAGGCACTCAGTTCTTCCCCCTTTCCCTCTCCACTGATATGAACTTACCTGATTCCCAGAGACCGCCAGGCCTGTATATAGAGCCTTCTGCAGGGCCCTGAAGATTGGTATCTGCGAGTGGTGGTTGGATCAGACCTGCACACCTATCCACCATCTATGGACCGCCTGAGCTTCAAGTGCAGGCAGCAATGATTCTGAATGTTCTAAATTCCTATATTGACTTAATAATTTGTAACCAATAACATAAAATACGAAACTATATTCAAAGTTCTTTGTTGTAATCTGTACCCATGGTTATAAATGTTTTGTGTATGTCTAACACTATTCTGTGCTCTTTCTTCCTATGTTCCTTTGTGTAGACATGTAAAGCTTACACTTCAGCTAAATGCAGAGGGAAAGATTCCTGTGCGCAAGTAAGTGATACACAGCATCTGGATAGAAAGCAATAGACTGATTTACTAAGGTAGATATTATGTGCAAAGTAACACGAAGCAACAATTATCTTATATTGTTCCATCCAGGCCCATCTTTAATACTCATCGGACCCTGGGCAAACATTTTCTTGGGCCCCCCAGGAATTTCTCTCACCTCCCCAACACCCAGAAAAAAAAAAGCACACATAGATCATAGGCTTCTCTCAAAAAAACTTTGACTGCAGGATTTCAAACCGATTGCAAGCTCAGCCGTTTATATTAGGAATGCACCGTGGGGTCTGTGGGGTCTCACCGGGGCTCTGTGGGGGTCTCACCAGTCCTGGTGAAACCCCTCAGAGCCCTGGTAAGACCATACAAAGCCCTGGTATAACCAGGGCTCTGTGGGGTCTCCCCAGTGCTCTGTGGGGACTGGTTAGACACCAAAGAGCCCTGGTGAGATCCCAAAGAGCCCTGGTTAAACCAGGGCTCTATAGGGTCTCACCAGGGCTTTGTAGGGTCCCAACAGGGCACTGTGGGGTTTAACTAGGGCTGGCGAGACCCTACAGAGCCCTGGTGAGACCCCAGAGAGGCCTGGTTAAACCAGGGTTCTCTGGGGTCTCACCAGGGCTATGTGAGGTCTCACCAGCCTGGTTAGATCCCTCAGAGCCCTGGTGAGACCCCACATAGCCCTGGTTAAACTAGGGCTCTGTGGGGTCTCACCAGGGCTCTGTGGGGTCTCACCAGTCCTGGTAAACCCCACAGAGCCCTGGTGAGAACATACAAAGCCCTGGTTTAACCAGGGCTCTGTGAGGGCTCACCAGGGCTCTGTGGGGACTGGTTAGACCACACAAAGCCTGGTAAAACCCCACAGAGCCCTGGGCTCTGTAGGGTCTCACCATGGCTCTGTAGGGTTTTCCCTTCCCACCCAGCTCCAGATCATTGCTGGCTTACCTTACCAGTGCAGTGACAGTGCTGTGAGAGCTCCGCGGCTGCCCCTGAGGAAAAAAAAACCTTCCTGCATGTGGGCAGGAAGGTACCAAAACATCACATTGGATGGGGGGTTTGGGACGTACCAACTGTTCCGTACGAGTCGTACGGAACAGTTGCTACATCCCAACCCCCCCCCCATCTAATGTGATGTTTTGGTACCTTCCTGCCCACGTGCAGGAAGGTTTTTTTTCCTGTGCTGATTCTACGGTATGACTGCGGCGGTACGGACACCTTGCCGATCCCTGCGCTATGCGGGCGGGGGAGGAGCTACACCTTTAGGATGCGCTCGTGCAGATCGCATAGGACAACAATACGTTATGGCAGTGCCGTATGCGGCTGCCATAACGTATTATACTATGCGATCCGATCGGCAAGTTTCTGCCAGCTCAAGGGGCAGCTGCTTTGGGCCCCACAGCCATGAATGGGCCCGGGGCAAGCGCCCTCTTTGCCCCGCGTTAAAGACGGCTCTGGTTCCATCTGATGAAGAGCGCAGTATAATTTCTGTTTGTTATATAATTCAAAATTACAACAATGTTTTGTCTTGCTCTTTTTCTACTCCTTTCCTTTTTTATATATTTCTCTCCCTATCTCATTGTCTTTTGGTTGTTTTCTACTTTTTCCTTTTATGCATCTTTGTTGTTTATACTAACTAATCAGATATGTTATACCTAGCACCAGCAAAACTTTTCATTGGACATGTTTGCAATTTTGTTCATAGGCATTAGCATAGGAGGGAAGGCAAAATATTTGTTTTTGGGTGGATTTGGTGCAATGGACTTTACATGACCCCTAAAGGTTAGGGAAGTCAAGTGTCCTGAACCTGTTCTTGTTCCAAAAACGCCCATTGTTATCTGGTAACATGCCTATAGATATTGAGGAACCTTAAAGCGTACCCCACTTTAATGCTAATCTAACTCTAATGATAGCTCTAACACTAACCCTTTCTTTATCAACACAGCCATGTGGTTACCATGTTAATATCAGTATTGACATGGTGATCAATTGATGCTCTTACAAAACAATATTATTTTTGTAAGCAAATTTTACCTAAACAGTCTGCATGGCATATTTTGAGGTTATGTTTTAAGAGCTGGGGGTCTGATTGGTTGCTTTGGCCAGCATAGACACTTTTCTTTCTTCATAAATCATCCAATATGATTTCCAGAAGATACACTGAGCCTGGTTTTTGTACATTTGCAACAGGGATAAAGTTTCCACATCTTGTAGATTTAAATTAATCAGCTCACTGCACTAGCAGAAGAATAATTTACTCCAAAACAGACAATCATCTTCAAATCATGGCTCTTCTGTCTCTCCCTTGGACAGCATTTTCCAGATGTTTCCTGCAGACAGGAAGAGAGTGGAACAAGCATTAAATTCTTGTCATCTGTCGAAAGGGAAAGTGAGTATCATACTAATGTCTTTCTGAATTGTTATATGCAGGGGCGGACTGACCATTCGGTACGTCGGGCACTGCCCGAGGGCCCGCGGCCTTCAGTGGGCCCGTCACGGGCGCCGCATAACGTGGGGTCGCTGCCGGCAGATCCAGCCACCGCATACAGAGTCTCCTCTCTCAGCCGATCTGCAGCTGCAGGCGGCTGTCTGATGGGTCCTCACAGCCGAGGCCCAGGGCTGCCCCCTGCAGTGCCTGTAGGCTTTTTTAAAATTCTCGGCTCCCTCCACAGTTTTCGGCGGCTGACGGGCCCCCTCACCTCTGTGCCAGGAGTATCAGGTCTTTCCGACACTCCCGGCGCAGAGAAGAGGGGGCCGAAAACTGTGGAAGGAGCCGAGAATAAAAAAAAAGCCTGCAGGCACTGCAGAGGGCAGCCCTGAGCCTCGGCCGTGAGGACCCAGCAGACAGCCGCCTGAGTACACGGGCGCGCTGAGATGGACACACACCACACACGGGTGGTTTTCTGCAGCCTCCCCTACCAGGAAACAGCCAGAGGAGGTGAAGGTAAGTTAATAAATAAAACTTTTTTTTTTGTAGCCCAATTGATGGCATTGCTGTATAAAGTACAGCTGGTATTTGTAGTTCTATATAGCAGCTCCCATTCTGCATTGCATAGAGGACTACAAATCTCAGCAGTACTTTATACAGCAATGCCATTTTCCAACTTTTTTTTTTTGTGGTTGCTAAAGGGGATGTGGGTTAGGGGGGTTTGTGTGTTTTTTTTGGGGGGCCCCAAAAATAATCTTGCACCAGGGCCCTTTGTTCCCTAGGTCCGCTACTGACTGCAGACGACAGGCTTGGGGAGAGAGAATTCTCAGTGGGACTGTTTCAAAAAGTTTGATAACAGATTTCATTTTAAAGGAGAACTATGGGGTTAAAGCTTTTCCCCATAGTTCTCCTTAGGGTAACGGGAGGACACAAACTAGCGTCCTCCCGTCACCCTAGGCTCAGTATACCGCGAGCTGTAGCTCGCGGTATACTGAGACGCCGATTTGTGACAAAGAAGCTGTCACAGGTCGGCTCTATCGATCGGGAAGTGAGCAGAAACATGCACCGATCCGCTCACTTCTTGATCATCTCCCTGCAGAGGGTGGTGACTGTCAGTGCAATCGCCCACACCGGAACGCGTGGCACAACGGTGCGATTGCTTGCACTATTTTTTGCGATCACATTACTCCGTGGGCATGCGTTCCGGTGCAAGTGCAGGTCCCTGAGTGATAAACACACCTTCATAAGGTTGTTCTGGACACTGTTCTGCCATACCTGCCTGATAGTTACCCTATCAGGCAGGGTGCTCGCAGTGACTGTGGATGGCGCCGCAAATATCAGCAATTGTGTATAGAGATGTCACCAGCACACCAAAACAACTGTTGTTTATATGACAAGGAACTTCAATAAATGAACATTTGCTTAACCTAAGAAGGATTTTGGTGTGCTGATGACATCTCTACACAATCTCTAATCGGGCGGCTGCTCACTCCCAATTAGAGCCTCGGGAGGCCCCAACGGACGGCCCTCTAACATGCCTGATTACTTGTGGGAGGGACTTGTATATGGGTGAAGCACAAGGCGGCCCCATAACCATGTATTGCCCAGGGGCCCCATGTGTTGTCAGTCCGCCCCTGGTTATATGTGTCTCTGAATTTATAGCCTTAATATATGGGGTCTGTTTATTTAATGTATTTATACATAATATATGTATGATAATGTGAAGTATTGGAAAAATATATTGCTATGATCAGTGCAGGTCTGAAACAGGACAAACCAGTGCCATGATACTGTGGAGCTAAAGGAAAAGGTAGGAACAAGAACGCCGATAGTGTTTTTGTCGCGGTCTGGGAACCGTATCACTAGGGCTTGGGAGCTCCAAGTGTTACGGAGCAATCATGAACAGGCAACAGGCCTTGGGGAGTTATTGGGAATTGTGATGTGCACGATGTTCAACTCGAACATCGGCAGTTCGTGTGTTCGGCGAACACATGAAGTGTCAGGGCATTCCGCGGGCTGTTCGACCGCCAAGAGCTCCGCATGGCACTGTGCTTTGTGAGCCCTGATTGGCTAAAACCTTACAGCTGACTACAGGTCAGGTGCAAGACTTTGCCCAGTCAGGGCACAGAGAACTGTGAGAGCCATGATTGGGCAAAGTCATGATGACTTTGCCCAATCCTGGCCCACCTGTTACAAACTGTAAACAGTCGGGTCGGAGCTAGCTGTCACTGCTGCTGGTTTTTTAATTATTATTATTGTTTCTATTTATTTTTTATTGTTTTATTTGTTATTTCGCCGGGTCGTCGTCATCGTGGACAGCGCTGGACGTCATGATTGGCGCTGGATTATGTCGGAGCATTCATTTTTTGGGTTTGTTTGTTTGTTTTTTTTAAAGACTTGTCAAAAACTTGTCTTTGTTTTTTTTTTTCAAATATAGGATTTTTTCAAAAGTCTGGCCTCTTTTTTACAATTTTTTTTAACCCTTTAGTGAAGGAGTAGGGCTACAAGTACCCCTTACTTTTTCACAAGGGGGGGCTGCATCTGGGTGCCCCTTTATTAAATGGGTACCCTGAGGTGAAAAAAAACCCTGTCCGCACCCGTTCTCCCCCCCCCGAACCAATGTCTCAGGGCTTGTGGGGAAGAGGCCCTTGTCCCCATCAGCACGGGGACAAGGTGCTTTTCCAGGGGCGACCCTGGAAAAGCACCCCCCAGTGCCGAGGGCATGTGGTCTGGTATGGCAGTTAAGGGGGGCGCTCGCCAGGCCAGCTGCTCCAAGATGCGCTTAACTGTTGCATTAGCATCCTGGTGTTTTTTTGTACAAGTGTGTTGAACATTTGCTATGGTTTACATGAGGTTTCCCCGTATAATTTGGGTATACTGTCGGATCAAATACTGTGGAGGCCTTCAATCTCACCCTTTTCTCTTTTAGGGATCAGTAATCACAAGTTTAAAAGTATGTACTTTTTAACATAGTTTGAATGAATGTATTATTTTGACCAACTGCTTACTAGGCCAGAAACATGCACAGTAGTCTGAGCCAAACCCATCATAGCTACAACTTCACACTTAATTTGCACAGCTGTGAAAGACAAATTTGTTAATTTTTGTGTGAATCAGCCTTCCTTTGCACTCCACAAATAACACTGTGGGAGCATGTGGACAACAATGAACATTCCTAAAAGAATCTTTTAAATCTTTATTCACTGTTTTGTCCTTAGAATGATGCCATCAACCCTGAAGATTTCCCAGAATCTGTCTACAGATCATTCCTCATGCAGCTCTGCCCCCGACCAGAGATCGATGAAATCTTTACCTCCCAGTGAGTGTGAAATTAGATAATTACATTACAAACATGTACTTCAATTTGCAGATTATTCTTTTATCTTCCATATTGATGTTAAAGAGACTCTGTCACTTCCCCGATTCAAAGTGACAGAGTCTTTTGAAACTCGCCCTCTGACCCACTTATACTTACCATCGCCTCTATCAGAGATGGGTATCAAACCCTGCGTGAGCTCCATGTTTGATGGTGTCAGGGCTCCAATGGAGCACTGGGAGAGCACAGCAAAGGGGAGTATGAGTGGTTCAGGGGGTGGACTTTTAAAATACTTTGATATTTTACCCTGAATGGCCACAGTGACAGAGTCTATTTAAAGGGTGTTCCTATTAATCTGCAGACTTACTGTCTTCCAGCCAAGTTGTTTCTTCGACTAGGATTCTGTGTTTTGCAACTGTCAACTAACTAGGTTTAATAGGGTTCCTTTTCTAGTCCCCTATTTTGGACACAGTTACAAAATAGCATGGCAGCAAGAGATCTGTCATGAGAAACATATATAAAAGGGTAGATTCAGGTCATGGTGACTGGTGCCAGAGAAACTGGGAGCAGTAATAGCAGCCTACCAACAATTTACATACTAGTGATATAATAGCAATAATAATAAAATTAATAATAATAGGAATAACAACTAAAGGCTTTGCTTTTCTTTCTTTTCAAATTGATTTTTTTCGGTTGTTGTTTAGATCAGTGGTCAGTCCATAACCTTGAAAATGTTTTTTATCACTTTCTTGCAATCTGGTGCCAAAACTCCATATCAGAAATATCACTTGGTGACGAGCCAATCAGGAAGCCAGGTGCTGAGTAATGACTCACTGCCCGGCTTCCTGATTGGACCGAAAGCTAGCCAATCAGGAAGTCAGGTGGCAAGTCTTTATCCGCCCCCCGGCTTCCCGGCTGGCCAGAAAGCCGGCTCTATGCTTCCTCGTCACCTGGACAGCAGGGCGGGCGGCAAATCATTACTCATCGCCCGGCTTCCTTAGTGGGACACCCGCTTATGTACATATAGAATATCAGTTTAAAAACGTATAAACAAATACCTAATTTTTTTTTCTATATTTTTAGCCACTCCAAAGCCAAGCCTTATATGACAAAAGATCACCTTACCAAATTCATTAACCAGAAGCAGCGAGATTCAAGATTAAATGAATTGTTGTTTCCTCCTGCTAAGCAAGAACAAGTACAAACTCTCATAGAGAAATATGAACCTAGTGCTATCAACAAGCAGAGAGGTGAGATTTGTGCACAATCTTCCAACAACTATTTTCAGGAGTTACAATGTAGTACCCAGTGTCCATTTATGATATATGAAGTATAGAAAAAGGTTATTATTAATGGTGATTCATTTTTAGATTTGTACAAACCATATTTGCTATTTGCCAAATAAAATGTTTTCTTCTGTGTTCTTAAGAAAGTTTAAATGTTTACTGTAGCTTAAATCTGATAACAGAGTGTAAAGGGTTCCTTACCTGCCTGTTTACCTTCTGGCAATGTACACTGAACAGAGCATGCGTAGCTCAGTGTACAGTCTTGACATATGTCAGGATGAATGAACTCCCATGCGGGAGTTACATCATTCTAGAACGCTCAATCAAGTTGGTCAAAGATTCCGAACCCAGTAGAAGACCAGGCGAAAATGTTGGCGCAAGAGGGCTTGCGGATGTTACATAGCTGGAGTGGAGGTAAGTATAGTTACCCTTTAAGCCAGCAGTGGGGAAGGAGTCAAAACCTTTCAATATTACTAGGTATAATTGTTTAATAATCTTTACAGTGGCAGCCAAAAAAGTGACTGTGCCATCAAATTCTAATTATGATACCACAGTACCTAACTGTGACATCCAACTATCTAGTACAGCATCATACTATTGAATGTGATGTCAATTATGATATGACATTATCTACCACAGCATCATAGACTGACTGTGAGATTGCAGTTATGAAGGATATTACAATACTGACTGTGACAACAGCATTGTTTTTTGTAATAACCTAATCATTCTGGCAGTACTATCTTTAATTATTCTTAGATCACACCAAAATGCAATTTCCTCATTGAAAAGGATCATAACTCTTCCAGTCTATCCAATCACTTCCTTTTCGTTAGGAACATTAATTCAAATGAAATGCCGTTAGTTGTTTCTATTTTTCACAGATGCAGCTGAAATGGGTGGGGCATATATGTTTTCCCAAAAACTGTTCTGTTCCTGTAAAGTATGTACAATCCTTTCTAAGGGGCAGGAAGTGAGATTGGATGATGGAGTGTGAATGTAAGTTGATGATGGGGTGTGAAATGGGAACTGGTGGATGAAGGCATGGGAACCAATCGAGCAGGGGTATGGGGGATATGAGCTAAAGGTGAGGGGTGGATGGAAGTTAATGCTTGAGAAATTTTCATGATGGGGGAGATAGGATCAAAAAAAAATTTCTGCACTTTTAACTAGACTCTATGAGTGCAATCAAAAGATCAAAAGAAAACAAAGCACTGCTTCCTGAGTTAAATATAAGTGTAGGTGCATGTCATAGGGCATTTCAGTGGATGGTTCATTTCCTAACTACTATAAAAGTAGGTTGACTGGGTAGCATAGGATTTCTATTACTGTTATATTTTTCTTCCAGTCAGTGACTGTTGTCTTCCCTCTAGGGCAGCTGTCTCCGGAAGGCATGGTCTGGTTCTTGTGTGGCTCTGAGAATAGTGTTGTGTCATTGGAAAAAATACGAGTACACCAGGACATGAATCAGCCATTTACTCACTACTTTATCAACTCTTCACACAACACCTACCTCACAGGTATACCTGCAAAAATGTGTAGCTTTTACCAATGGCAATGGAAACTATCAGTTTTCCTAATTATAGTTATGGTTTGTAGGCAGTATTCACTCATGGATGTTAAATTGAGTTATTTACTTCTAAATTAAGCTGGCCATACACTGGTAGATTTACGTACGAATATTCATATCTCATCAGAACATTTGACAATTCTATGAGAGACTTCTTGACGAATGTTATTTGAAATTTGGTTCAGATTTACAATTCGATTTTGGAATGAATTGAGTTTCCCAAACAAGAACCCATATTCACTGTTTGAATTTGGTTCGTTCAAGAAATATTCTCCATCCTGCTACTGCGATTTTTTTTTGGTCACTGCAGTTGAAAACATCAGTTGATTTTAACCCCATTATCTATTAGAGAAGTGAACGAATGTTCCAAAAACAAACGTTTACTGGTATATGGCCAACATTAGTGTCAATAAAGTCTAACCTTACCATGGAAGTATTATTCTATTAGTGGGACGAACTATTAGTAAGTCAAATTTGGAAAGCAAGGGGTATTTTTATGAAGCAATGACATTCAGCAAACATTCACTGTTTAAATTACAGGGAGTGATTAACCACCTGTAAATGTTTGATGAATGTCACATTTATTACTATAGAAATTCACCTCCAATATACAAAAGTGGAGGAAAATTAATTGAAAAATTGAAAACAATTTAACCCAATAAAGACCCCAAAAAATTAAGATATCATCACCCCTTAGATGTTTTAGCCCTGCATGTATGTTTCTCAGATAATTGGTCTGAAAAGAACCAATATGCAACTAAATTTTAAGTATTTTTGAGTAACATATTTATCAAGATTTATTTTTCTACTGCACAATATTAAGCATAATTGCTTCTCAATCCTCAGCTGGTCAGTTTTCAGGGATTTCTTCTCCTGAAATGTATAGACAGACCTTGCTCTCAGGCTGCCGATGCGTGGAACTTGACTGCTGGAAGGGAAAACCACCAGAGGAGGAGCCAATCATTACTCATGGCTTCACCATGACAACTGAGATTCTTTTTAAGGTGAGATGCTTTCCTATGTCTACAATATGGAACAGTGAAATTAGCTTCCTTGTTACAGGTGTGATTGATGACAGCAGTTACATTCCTTTCAGAGCGTTCATATACCTATTTTTTTCTTAAATATGGCCTCCTTATGCGTTAGAACTCTTGAACACACATCACTAGTTGCCCCATAACCATCCAATTTTATGGCAAATTAAACTCCTATAGTTCCCAGAGTGTTCTGGGACACAGTTTGAAATGGGAAGTTCGTTAACACTTACTATTGATGTACCACTTTCCTTCTACTTAGGCCACGTAAGCCTGCAATTGTTGGCCACTCTTTCTGCTAGTTACCTAACTATCACACTAATTTAACTATTTTGGTACATTCTAACTTTACTCTCACATCATTGGCTGCATAGTTATGCCAGGTCACTAGCATTTCAGAAGAAAGACAACAGTGGCAGTCTGCCTATTTCTTTTAATAACTGTTTAATAACATTCAGCTATGTGTTTTTTGTTCTTGGTTCCCATATTTTTTCTTTTTAGCTTTGTATTCTCTCTTTTTAGATAATTTTAGGATAACGTTATTCCTGTTTTACCTGGACAGATCAATGAATATAGTTTTCCATGAAGTCTTGTATGCTGCCATGTTCAGCTTATAAAGTTTCCATCTGAGCTCCTCTCAGGGTTGAGAATGTACAGGTGCTATCCTGCCTTCCATCTGACAGTCAAAATACACATTAGAAAATTTTCTGTGACTTTTTACTGGCTATGCTCTGTGCTCTGTCACACTGCCTTATGTTTGCATAATTAATTCTTCTCATGACAGGACCAGAAAGCTTACCATTCATTTCGATAACACATTGTACTTCTGTGAGATATATTGTAAAAAGACACTTCTTACAACATGCTTTTCTTTAAAACTAAATACTGGTGTGACAACAGGCTGATGGTTTCTAACTTAACAAATCTCATAAAACAATGCTTCTATTGCTATTTAAAGTTGCACAAAGAACCATCCAATATTAGCCATTAGCTATGTACAATAAATCTCATTTTTATTGAATGGAATCTGTGAAACATCTCATAAATGTAACACTTGTATTTTATTATATTTTTATTTAAAACCCCATTGAACTCTTATTTTAAATGAACCAAATACGTTCCAGGTGCATCAAACTGCCCGAGTATGAGCAGAAGTGACAATAAAGATAAGAGAAGGCCATATATAAGAAAGAAAAAAAAAACCATAAACAAAATTAAAATCAAACTCACATTAGGCCCCAATAAAATGCTCAGTTTTAGTATGGTAGTAAATAGTGGCATAGGGCCTTGCTAATTGCCTACATTTCAGGTCTATCATTAAGTGCAGTAAAAGCCACAAACACATTTAATGCAGGCTTCTTATTGTCTCTCACATACAAAATGCCTAATGTAGAATAAATTTGCCTAGGTATTTTGAATTGAGGTGAGTGGGTTACTTAAAGGACAACTTTACCAAAAGTAAGGTTGTCCTTCAATGTCAGCCACTGAAACTGCTTATATTTACTTGCCCTTGGTCCCTACCACTCCATTTGTATATGGAAGTGAGGGGAAGAAGTAATTTGTAAGATCCAAGTTGAAATTGGAGCTTATACAAGGCTAATAACTCCCTTCATGCCTCCATGTGAGAGCGCTGGATAGCTGAATAGAAAATTACCTAACTCCAGTGCTTTCACTGGAGAAGAAAGGGAATGAGTCACATACTCCCCTATACCCAAAAGTACAACCTACATCACTTTTGTTTCCCCAGAAAAAAGCTAATGTAAGTGTAAGCCGCTACAGTGGTCAACAGCAAGGTGAACTTGTTACTTTATCCTGCATGAGCAAAGAACGGGTTCACTCGAAAATAATAGGTGGAATCTGAAAAGGGCAGACATTATATTTTCCAGAACTGTTTTTTAAGTAACTCGTGTGTTTATTGTGCTAAGGATAGTCCAATATGACCAAAATAGCAAATAAAATATTGTCTTATTGCCAGGATGTCATTGAAGCTATAGCAGAATCAGCTTTCAAGACTTCTTCTTATCCAATTGTCTTGTCCTTTGAGAACCATGTGGACTCGTAAGTAGCAGTATTTACTTGGCCAAGCAGATAATGTGGAATTGTTCAAGAAACTTTTGGACGATTTCTTAAGGGACCGTAATATACAGGGGTACAGGTAATCCTAGAATGAGATCCTAATAGGTTGGACTTGATGGACTAATGTCTTTATTCAACCTCAAATACTATGAAACTATATACATTTTGTAGAAGTTATGGAAGTTTTCCAGCAGTTTTCATTCAAAAGCAATCCTATGTAACTGAACTGTCAACAAGCAAATTGCAGTGGAGATACCAGGAAAAATATATTTTAGAATATTTCCACATTTCGGATGGTTTGGTTGCTTTACTTTGTGGGAGGCAGATTGAAGGATCCATTAAATTCAATGTGATAGCTTTTCAAAAAGAAGCTCATGGAAAGCTTCCAAAATCTCCACAAATTGGAAATGGTTGGTAGAAATCATTATGGAAAGGAATGCCCAAACTAGTATGGGCTAACAGACACATACATAACCTATGAAAGTAATTAATTCCTGCACAAGTATAATTAACAGAATTACATGAAATTTATTTCAACAAAGTACACCTATACAGTATTTATAGCCTGCAACTTTGCTATGCATCCAGCCTGGGTATTGGGTGTAGTTAACATCAACCACAAGTGAGGATCTCTATGTGATTTACTCCTCTATTAAGCAACTTTACCACCCCAACCCCTGTGGCTGAATGTGTTAGGATGGCAGCATAGTGCTGTTCTCTATGGGGAGGCCTTCTTAAACTCTTTCCACTCGTGACCCCTTTGCGCCCGAAGGAAATTTTTAGGTGCCCCCAGCGTCAGTCGGTGTCTTTCTCCTCCTTCAACACCCCTCCACCTGTCTGCCCGCCGACTGCGTCTGCGAAAATAACTTACCTTTCCCCTCCAGCAGCTGTGCTCCGCTGCTGCTTTGCTCTTCGGTGCTTCTGTTAGGTAAAAAAAATCTCTGCCCCCTGAAAACAAAACAAAAACCAATTCAACTGTACATAGTAATCTATAAGAAAAAATTCTTGCTTGGAGCCCGGGTTCCCCCCATCGCCTGGGCCCCACACACAAGTACTGGCCATACCCCCCTAATGGCGGCCCTGGCCAAGAATTCTGAATTTTAGTTGCAACCCCCCATTCACTTGCGCAACACCATATGGGGTTGCGGCTCACACATTTAGAAGTGCTGCTCTAGGGCACTACAGTCTCATAATACTGGCAATTCCATTGTTGGCTTTTTTGCTGATGTGCAGAGAATTGTGGGATGTTAATATAAAAAAAAAAATAGTTACTCGATGCTTGCAGTATGTTATGATACATTTAGTTAATGAATAAACATAACATACATACATACATACACACACACACATATATGTAAAGTTGTCTTTTTCCGTTTGCTTGAAGTTTTGATTTAACACTTCAGATGTATATTAGTTATGGGACAGACCAGATCTAAATTGTTACAGTATATTTAACGCGGAGGTATAGACATTTTTTTAATTTTTGGATAGAATAGGAAACTGTTAAAACCTCTGAGATTTTTTTTTGCTGTATGTGTCTTCACTTCCTACAGACACTACAGGAAGTGAGATAACATGCGTGGGCTGGTGTGCGTCTTGTAAGAACAGTGCAATGCATTGCTACAATATGTCACATTTTTTATTATTTACCTTTACTTACAATTCCCCCCCCAAATGAACTTTATGCCCTGCAGCACGTTGTGACGTGGTCTGGTCATGTGTGTTGCAATGAGGATGAGGAAAAATGCAGACACCAACATGAATGTATGGTGTGAACAAGATACATAGAGAACAATTGTTTTCTATACACCCCTTGCTTTGAGCCTTCATGGATTAAAGTGATATTAAACCCTTGTGTGTGTGTTTTTTTTTATTCTCCAGAGGAGATCTATTCTCTTTGTGTAGCTTTTTTTTTATACTGCCCGTTTCATTTATTTGTTTCACTGGATGTATTGTGACCCCCCTCTCCTCTTGTTTATGGGTGTCTCCTTTGCCTAGCAGATAGCAAAGGAGACACCCGTGTGTGCACGCTCCTGGCCGGGACTCACACAGCACTCGATAAGCCAGCCCCCTGTTCCTACCTCCTTCATCCTCTCAGTATCTTGACAGGCAGGTACAGCAGCCTATTGCTGCCCTGCCCTCAGTGGCCGTGGGATCCCTCCTCTCAACCCAGAACTTAGGGAGAAACATCGCAGATCATCTGGGAGCCAGCAGTAGTGGAGTATAGGTAAGTGTTTGGGGGTGGGGGGCATGGAAAGGTAGTGGGGCATTTTTACCTTAATGCAGAGCATGTATTAAGGTAAACAACAAATAGCTTTTAGTAGTACTTTAATGCAGATCAACACAGCTCTGCTCCTACCAACGCACCAGCGCACATGCATTATACTGGAGTAAAGCATGCACCTGCAGGTGTGAATGGGCCCTTAGATAGGTGTCAAAAGAACAAGTACCCCAGTCGAAGATTTTCCTCTAATTCTAGTGACAGCTGTAGATTTGGGAATTTCCCATCACTTTCTCTTCTGGCGACAATGACCTCCAGGACAATTAGAGAGGGCAAATCTCCCTAGCGAAGACACAGCCAGCAATAACAACAGCACAGGAAATTCTTCTCTACTCTGTACAAAGCTAAACAAAAAAATTTGTGCTATACATACACTTTAACTACCAGTAAAGAAAGCAATACACTGCTAGCTAACACATTCTTGCATATAAATTAAAACTACAAATACAATATTCATGATATATACAGAATAGTCCAGTCATGGGCAGTTTTGAAGAGAGCAACACAATTGGCAAGGTATCTAGAACTTTATGTCTGATAACGGACTTCAGTTAACAATTCCTAAAAAAACGTAGAGTAATTATTGCAGTTTAGAAATCATGAAAGGATTAGCAAATTGAAGTGAATGTTCCCCTTTTGTAACCTTTTTTTTCAACATTATAAAACAGTGACATATTTTAAATATATTATAGTGCAAAGCAACAGGCAAAAATGGCTGACTACTGCAGGACAATATTTGGTGACATGCTACTGACTGAATTACTGGAGAAGTTTCCTGTAAGTACACAATGCTACCTACTACTCTTTCTATATGGTAGTGCTGGACCAATAAGTGATGTAATTGCCTGAACTACAGCCTTATTTACTGAACTGCAGCCTTATTTTTTCTTCCTATGCCTGTAGCAAGTCCTTTCCTGTGTTAAAACTTCTTACTCTCAATTCCCTGCATACTTTCATCTCTACAATACAACCCTTGAAACTACAGCCTACCTTCATTTCATGCCTGAAAAACCTCCAGGAATAATTAATCACTTCTCCTCCTGATCACACTGCCATTGCCACCCTCGCGGATATCAGCTTTCTGCCATCAATTATTGTTCCTGAGTTTTATGTGAACGAACACATCCCCAGCATCCCTTCAGATGTGCCTGCAACCAGTTAACCAATCAGACTGCAAAGCTAAAGCCCGCATGTCTGAGTGGCCAGCAGGGAGAAGCAGGCATATCTACAGGGGTCCTGGGAATGTTCTCTTTCATACAATGATTTCTAAAATGATTCAAGGCAGAAAGCTGTGCTGTTTACAGGAGTCTACTGGTCCCTCCCACCAAACACAGAGCGAAGACCAGCAGAACAGAACAGAGTGCAAAAAAAAATGTTTTTTGTTCTTGTGTTTAGAGACACTTTAACGACATTGCAAAAAGACATTAGAGCGTCACGTAACATTGATAAATGTGCTTTCGTGGAATAGGTCAAAGACTCTTATGCGGAGAACTACTTCTAAATAGAACCAATAACCTACTTTAAGTTAACTCAAAACGGGAAATATCTTTTATTGGCCTGTTTATCTTTTTTTAATAGATAAAACCTGGATGTCCAGTGCCAAGCCCTAATGAACTGATGGGAAAAATCTTAATTAAGAATAAAAAGAACCAGGCTTTCACTTCAACAGAGAAGAAAGCACAGAGTGGTGACTCCGGCAGTTCAGATCAAACCAATGCACAATCCGGTGAAAATACAGGTATATGCAGGCCAGTGGTGACACCTGTCAGTGACAGTCCATCAATTGTGGTTTCATTATGCTCATTTTTTGTAAGTTATAATCAAGGTACATTATCAGATGATTTTACATCTGCTTGCAGAAAACGAAACAGTGGAAGAAGCAGGTGGAGAAAATGAAGGTCAAGCAGTGGTGGAGAATGTGGATGAAGAAGAGAAACAGATCCAGTCTGATGAAGTGAGCTCTCAATATATAATCACACAATGTTGTTTGCATCTTATAAATTGCATAAGAGGAATTTTTATGGAGTGGGAAGACACTACGCTGTCTGGGTTCCCAGGAATCAACATACATGCAGCATCTTGTCTTATGGATTGGGAATGTTGGGAATCACTTATAGAATCTGTACTCACATACTTCAGTCCCAGTACCTGGTGTCAGTGGGATTAAACTGGAATGGCTATTTGAGTTAATCAGGTTAAGTCTAGCAGACAGATACAGAAGTATCTCCATAAATTAAAGCGTTGAGAAGTGAAATCAGCCCAGCTCCTCTGTAAGCTCTCTTTAGGAGAGTCAATGTACTATTATATGAACTATAAGTGAGAGTATGTATACCATGGGCTATGTTGATTTGCTTTAAAGATAAATAGCCCTAACATGATGTATACAAGAATATGCATATTAAATTCTACATCCTATCCCGTTTCATATACTGTATATATTGTATATGTGTGTGTGTGTGTTAGAGATCCCAACATCCCGGATACATTTTCCCTTACCAAAGTAATTATTAGTTAGTCTTTGTTGTATAGAGAAGGAAATCTTTTTAACTATAATGTTTAACCTTATTTGTTCTCCCTCACACAGGGGACTGCTGGGCAGGAAGTCACAGCTTATGAGGAGATGTCAAGTCTAGTCAACTATGTCCAGCCAGTGAAATTTGACTCATTTGAAGTTTCTGCACGTAAGATAATTTCTATGGATGTGCAACAAACTGCTCATTATCCTTATTATACTGTATATTCTATTAAGTACAGGAATATTGTCAGAATGAAGCCCAAGTGATAAAGGGCTAATAAAACAACAGTAGAGCTGGCCACTCACTTCAAAATAAGCCTGTACAATCACGTTTATATTTCCTACTAATAGTGGTACATAAAGGCAGCAAAGAAACATCAGGTCTTCTGCTCTGAATTTACAGAGCTCTATAGGAAAGCCCATTTGGGCTGTCACATATGATGTCCATGTTTAGGAATAACTTATATGTTACAGGAGCAGCAGCTTCAGGATTTTGATTGGAGATTTCATTTTTACATGCATTATGATATAAGACTGATTGTTAAGAATAGTCATCTTTTGGTAACACCATCCTTATCATGTATATATTTTTATAGGCTTCTGTATGTTTTGTTTTTTTTAATGTTACTTTTTCTAAATTATGAATGCCTCTCTCTTTCATTTATGCAGAAAAGAATCAAAGTTATGTGATTTCTTCATTTGTGGAGACCAAAGCTTATGACCTGCTGACCAAGTTCCCAGTGCAGTTTGTTGAGTATCCTTTGTTTGGCTGCTCCAGTCTTATTAAAATGCATACATTCAGAGTTATAAATTCATAGATGTGTGCATGCGGGGCTGGAAGCTTCAGTTATTGCTTATTATTTTGGAAATATTTAACTTGTACAGTATATAGTATTAGTGCATCAGAGCTCGCAGCTCAGTGCTGGCATGCTCTGGGTGCAGAACAAGGCAATTGTTAAGGTTTAAAACTTAGGGGGTTATTCACTAAAGAGCCGAAGGATTAGCTAATCGGGTAGTCCTTTGGCTCGCTTCGGCTGCCCAAACCATTCGGTTCAGCTGAACCGAAGGGCTGTTGTACGTGCTATTCTCAACAGCGCATACAGCAGCTGAAGGCTGGGTGCCCCCTGTTTATGAAAGGGGGCACCCAGATGCAAATAAGACCCCCACAACCACCGGGCCAGGGTTGTGGGGGAGAGGCCCTTGTCCTCATCGACATGGGGACAAGGTGCTTTTCCAGGGGGTGCCCCCCCGGAAAAGCAACCTCCCAATGTCGAGGGCATGTGGCCTGGTGTGGTGCAGAGAGAGGGGGGCACTCACTCCCCCCCTTTCCTACCCTGCCAGGCCACTGCTCGGATTAAGGGTCCAGTATGGAATTTTAAGGGGACCCTACTTTGGTTTTTTTGGGACATCGGGGATCCCCCCTAACATTCCTACCAGACCTAAAGGGTCTGGTATGAGTTGGGGAGGTGAACCCCACACTGTTTTTTTTTTTAATTTCTATTTTTAACAACATTCAGTGCTTCAGTCCACTTCGCCGGACCATTCTTCCCGCTCCGGCTGTTTGTTCGGCTTTGACGAGCCGAAGGATGTATATTCGGTTCTGCTGCATTCGGCCATTTACTTCAGCTCCTTTGGCTACTGTATGCACTATTGAGAATAGCGCATACAGCAGCCCTTTGGTTCGGCTGAACCGAAGGGTTTCTGCAGCTGAAGCGAGCCACAGGATTAGCTGAACATTCGGCTAAATCCTTCGGCTCTTTAGTAAATAACTCCCTGGGTGTTCTCTGATTGGACAAGGGGCAGTGCCATAAGACCACCACTCGTCCAATCAACAAATGCCTGTTATTTTTCCCATCTGCACTAGCAATGCTCACCTTATATCTGTGAGCACATTTATAAAGACACATTTTTTATCTGGTATTTGGTGGAGATACAAAATTTCTGACAAGAAAGAAAAAAACAGGGTAAAAGTAGAATTATAAGAATTATACATTTTTTTGAATAATAAACCTAATAAAAATGGCTTCTTGTGTTACTCAGCCTGGAGAAAAGAAGTGAGTGGGAGACATACAGCCTTTATTATGATAAGGGTTTAAATTACCTTCCAGGAAATGTTCTAAAATAAGATGAGCTCTGAGACAGACATCTACTGTCTGTAGAAAAACGAGAAGTCATTTTATACATGATTTTACAGATAGAGTAGTGGATTACATGAAACCAAGAATAAGCATATGTTACTGGAAGAACAGCAATAGTTGAAATGGAAAAAAAACCCACAGCATATACACAGACCTAACCCTAGACGAATACAACTGATAAATAAATAGAAGCACTAAATTGATGACATGGTGTTCAGCTCCAACATTTTGTGAGTCTGTGATAGCAAAGAACAATTTACTATTCATTTCTCACTAAATGAAAAGTTATAAAACATTATAATCAATATCAACAAGGTAGCTTATTAACAAAAAAAAATTACATTCCTTTTCAGATGATACAAGAAGATAAATGTATTAAGATTCTTGTTTTATCACAAATTTAAAAAAAAAAAAAAATACAGTGAAAGAAAATTGACTTTAGATATAGATGCTATGCTTTGTGGCAGCACAATTTTAACATTTGACAGGCTGGGATTTGGCTGGGGTATCGGACTCTTCATACAAAGTCTTGGCAAGTAAGTTGGAGGGGTTGGACCCATTACGAGAATTAGAACCCTTGGCATATATAAAGAAGGGGGCCGGGATACCCACATTGAAATTGCTCAGGAAAATATGGGGTCTGAGAAAAAAGGTTTTGGATATTGAGGGATACACCTATACTCCCTTGTGGGCCAATGATCAACTGGCTGAACTAATTAAATTACAGGGCTTTTGTAAATGGGATAATCTCCCTATTGCAATTATACTCTGAGGGGGGTGTTCAAGACATTTGATCATTTAAGAGCGGAATATCGGCTGGAGAATAAAATGTTTTTCCAATATCTGCAATTAAGACATGCGTTGAGTGCGCAAGCTTTGATTCCAGCAGCACTCTTTGTTTAAACTCCCTTGATAGACCCGGTGTTTAAAGCTAAAAATTCTAAGGGGATAATTTCTCTGATGTATCGCTGTTTGTTAAAAAAAGTATTTACTGAAATTCCCTTCGGCATGTAGGGAGCGTTGGACACAGGATATAGGTACAATCAATGAAGAAACATGGAAGGCAGTACTTCAAGGAGTGCAGGATGTATCTATTTTCTTCTTGCACAGATTAACTCAATTATTTATTATACATAGGGTGTATAGAACCTCGGAGTTCTTATATAAAATAGGGGTCTGCACAGACCCAAAGTGTTCGAGATGTAAGCATCAAGAAGGCACACTTATTCATTTGTTATGGAGATGCCCAAAACTAAAAAGATACTGGACAGGGGTGATCGAATGTCTGAACAAAGTGTATGGTAACATAGTGGATGTTAATCCATTAACAAGTATTCTATGAGGTTTCAATTCTGATAACTTAGACAATAATAGTGTTTTAGCAATAACAAGGCTATTGTTTTTGGCTAGAAGACTAATAGCAGTTAAATTGACCTCGGAGTAACCCCCTACAACTGAAGAATGGAAAGCTGAAATTAGTAAGTATATTTGGTTTGAAGAACATACCTACAGGCTTAGGAGTCAGATAGGTCAATTACAGGGGATTTGGAACAGGCGGAATGTTAATCAGACTTGAGGCCTCCTGGATTAATGGGTAAAAGCATAATATTATATTGAAGAAATGCAACAGTAGATATGCAGAGCAGGAAGAAACAAGGAAGTGGATTAAGGAGGGACTGCAGATAGGGGTGGTGGGATGGTATGTGTAAGCTGTATTTTTGTTTGTTTTTATTTTCTTTTGAACTATGGTATTATGTTATATAGTCACAATGTAGGGAAGCAATGAAAAAACAAATAAGAATATCTGATCTAAAAAAGATATAGAGGAACTACTGGACTATACCAGATATAATACGATACCAACCATCCGATGGACCTCCTCTCTGATTTTCTTTTCTATTTTCATTTCTTTTATTGTATTATATCTGGTTGATGATACTGTATTTGTATTTGAATTTACACTTTAACTTTAATATTTCGCTGTATGAGCCACTCCTTATGCTCTCAAATACTATGTAAAGTGCCTTGTTTATTTTCTATTGACAACTAATAAAAACTTTGTTACAAACAAAAAAAAGATGTAGATGCTATTAGTTCTGGACAATATTCATGTTATGTAAATCATGCACATACAATACCAAACAACTGCAACACAAATGGCAACATGCAAGGTGCAGGAGCCCAAAGCAGGAAATGAGAATTAAACTTTCACTGATCTGACTTCTGTAAAGTGGAATATGATTAGTTTTCTGCACTTTGGCATATAACTGCCATGTGAGAGATTGTGCTCTCATGACTGAAGATATCAATGCCTCTCAGGCCCAGTGGACTCATAAAAGCTTAGAAAACTTCCTATACCATTTATCCAGATACAATAAAAGACAGATGAGTCGTATTTATCCAAAAGGAACCAGAATGGATTCATCTAACTATATGCCACAAATGTTTTGGAATGTGGGTTGTCAGATGGTGGCGCTGAACTTTCAAACAATGGGTATGTTGTGTGTAAGAGTCTATTAAGAAAATTAATCTTTATCATTTCTGTAACTTCTCGAACTGATGCTGGAAGCTAAACACATATGATCTTGTACACTAGCACTTAGGGGCCCGTTTATAACGGAGAGTAAATATTGCTATATTGCTATCTGCTCTCCTTTATACTCCACTGGAGCTGCTCACACCACTACCTGCATTTTATGGCACATTCATAAAATGCAGGTTGAGCCTGTGTTGTTGCACAGAGATCACTCTGCTAAACAACACAAGTGCCATAGTAGCTAAGTCCAAGACAAGACGGGTCTGCAACAGTCGAGCCGCGAGGTACCAGAACAGCAGACAAGACGTAGTCGGGAATGGGCCGGGCCAGCAACTTGCAGACAGTGAAGTACACAGCAGCAAGCAGGGGCATGGTCAGAAAAAAAGCTGAGGTCGAGAGAATCCAGAAGAGCAGAAGAATGGTCAGCCAAGCCGGTCAATAACAGGAGATCCAAGTCAAGATGCAGGGTACAGGATACAGGTGCAGGGAACAGCAGGACACCAGCTTATGTTGGAGGCTAGAATGTCACAAACCTTAAATTGCCTGTTTAGCATGAACATCCGCAACACACGTGTGCACACGAATGTGCACATGCTGTGAGACGAACCCACAGATGTGCACACGCCCCACTGTGCACAATTTTCTGAGCAAACTATGCCCGCACACTATGCGCAGGTGCTCATGCAGGATTCTAAGATGGTGGATATACTGCTGGGGAGGACATGTATTGCTAAGACAATGCTTGTCGACCCCAGTGAACATAGTTGCTAAGACAATTTTGTCCTTCGTTTTCTTTCCTATGAATGTAATGTGATGTAAGAAAATATGCAGATTTATAAGGCAAGGCAAAGTATAGTTCATCTTGTTTATTAGCCAAAGTTTGCCCTGTAAGATAAGAAGTATTAATGACAATGTGGCTTTGGTATCTATGGACTACATTATGGCTGTTGGAAGTCAGTGCATTTTTGTGGGCAAAATTGGAAAATCTACATAGAATGTCATTTTTCAGGGGTTTCTGTATAATGTAGTTGACCATAGGGTTCATGCAGTGGATTTCTAGCTAGAGCACACTGCTGATATAATATATACAGTAGTAGTTTAAAATGGAAATAAAAAAAAGCAAGACTTATGTTCATATGGTTTACATTGCTGATGCAATGACTCTGCATGATATTTGAAATCAGATATTATTTTTAATGGCTTTAACCGTTACCTTCTATTCTTTTTTTAGATTTAGCTATGCAACAAAACATGGCACTGTTTGAGTTCAATGGCGGCAGTGGATACATTCTAAAACATGAATTCATGCGACAAGCAGAAAAGCAGTTTGACCCATTCACAGTTGATCGGATTGATGTAGTTGTGGCCAACACTCTCTCAATTACAGTAAGTGTTAAACTGAAACTCCTGCTATGTTTAAAATGAACCTACTACCACCCTACTACAAATATTCTGAGTATTTTTTCATTTTCCTACCCGCTTCTGTTCCGGATTCATTACACACACCCATGAACTGGTGAAAAGGATGAGGCTATTTAATGTTTGCCTCAACAATGACTCCTCTTTCTAGTACAAGCAAGGTTTAGAGATGTCTGAAATGATGCGCCTGGGGGTTTTGTCTACAGGCAGATTACAGTGCACTGAACCTAACTTTTCAAATGCAAATACATATATTTAAAGATTACTATACATGCTGGTTATAATTGTAAGTAGGTCTTCTGCAGTCTGAAACATGGTGTTTGAAGTGCAGCCTATTATTTATTATACTATGCCAAAAATATATCCTTAATGACTATATTTTATGCATATAGTAAGTTTTTTAGTAAATCTTGGAAGGCTTCAATATGTATAGTGGCAGCTATTGTTGTATATACACTAAAGAGTAGAATTCAACTGCAACTCATTGCTAGAATCAATCAACATTGTGTTGAACAGAAAAACCAAATGATTTGTTAGTGTGCTCTCTGCTCATATTTATAATAGTTTGATGAGCAAAGCAAACTCTTCTAAGATCATAGATTATCATATATTATATAATCAGATATGTTGCTTTTTCACTTGGTTGCCCCTGTTATTTCCATTGTGATGTTTGTGGGCTTTGGTTAATGAGCTAATTTTTGTCTACTTATTTATATAGCATTAACACATTCTCTGGAGCCTTGGTTCTCAACTGGTGGGTCGTGACCCCGTGTTTAGAGGGCGGCCGCATGCCTTCCACTTTTCTAGGTGAGAGGCTGCTCTGCCTCACCCTAGCACAGCACAATCAGTTATCTTGCAAAGCAGCCATTCAAAATATGCTGCCCGGCCCTGAGTGTTAGCTTGAGGTGGGATGGGATGGGGCTGTGACAGCTCCCTCACATGTTCTATAGTCGTGCCTGGACATGAGTGACATCACATTCTAGCTCCCGGAACAACTACAGGACGCGCAAGGGAGCTGTACAAGCAATGCACATATGGATGGAGCTCCCTCACAGCACAGCAGCCCACATTGGACCCCAGGCTGAGGACCCACTCCTGTTCCCATAAGGTAGGGATACTGGGTGAACCTTAAAAAAAAAAAACTCAATTACATTTGTTTGGGAGTGTGCATGTGGGTGTGAGAATGACTGTGAGTGTGTGAGATTGTGTCTGTGGTTGTGTATGTATGTCAGTGTTTTTGAGGGCCAATTCACACTAGTACAGTGCGTTAATCGCATAGTACCGTGTAATTAACCTGCCGTGCATTCTGGTGTGGGAGGAGTGTTGCATTGCCATTCATTTGAATGGTACCCCAAGCGCACCTCCTACCCACAGTTCGTATGTCCGCACCAGAACGCGCGGTACCCTAATGCCGTGCATTCCATAGCAGTGCGACTTGGGTCCCGACTTAATGACCAAGGACAAATGTGGGTCCTGAGGTTACACAGGTTGAGAACCACTGCTCTAGTGCATACCCAGTAAAAACCCATACATACTGAATGTAAATACTTTAAAAAAAATACATGCATGGTCATGGTCAAAATGAAACCTAAAAACCAGTACTGCAAGGTGAGAATGCTTGCCTCCTAAATACTGCACTGCCCATAGGCTGTGTCTGTGTCCCTCTTGTTATAGGTATTTATATAGCACAATTAGTTTAAACAGCACTTCACATACTATATAATACCATACTACAGTATATTCACATCCATTCCTAATTTCAAGGAGCTTACAATCAGGCCCCTATCTCATATGCATGCACATACTAGCATCAAAGATTGGGAAAAAGCCCATGCAAACCCCATTAAAAATGGTGTCCTGGCCAAACCCAGATTTGAACCAGGGAACTCAAGGCTGCAAGGCAGACATGCTTATCACCAAGCCACTCTCCATATGCTGTCATGCTTTGAAAAAACGTAGTGTTGTGCTCTTTCAGGGTATTATGGCATAAGTTTACTGAATTGGGAGTATTCCTGTGCTTTGCTAGAAAGAAGAACATAATGCAAAGTGCTCTTACTTAAAGCTGAATTCCAAGCAGATACAAAACTCCATTTAATGCAGTTATATATTTATTATAAAAACGTATATATTTTTAGGTTCCCGAAACTCTCTGATCATTGCTATACAGTAGATTACAGAGGGATGAATTTGAGACTAGCAGAGGTAGGGGCAATGCTAGGAGCCAATCAAGCTGTGCTACATTAACATGTGCTGACAAGGAACATGCTGACTTGAGGGTAGAGAGACAACCTTTAAAACTTAACTCTGCGATAAGCAAGTATTTTCAAAATATTTGTAATAAAGACAAGTCACTGTTGTTCTCTCTCCTTGTGCACAGTGACTGGTCTTCTATCTGCACCCTACTGTAGTTTTCTGCAAGCAGGCTGTAGTGGGCAGAGCCAACTGGGTCCCACAGCTCTGTTGTCTGCACAATCACAGTACAGGGCAGTAATTATGTCACTGCTACTTGTATAGAGATGTTCCTCACTTACCGACTTACCTGTTTTGCGACCACTCGCACTTACGACGGACCGCCGATCGACCTCCGACCTTCCGCGTCAGCGTCAGTGCGACGGGTCGCCGGCGGAAGTGACATCCCCCGATCTTCACTGCAGGTCTCGGTAAGTATTTCCATTGCCGGATGTACAGTACACTGTTCGGTACTGTACATCGGCAACGCTATACAGTACTGTACTAATGCAGTATAGTACTGTATAGAGTTCCTCACTTAACGACCAATCCGTTTAACGACCTGGTCGTAGGAACGGAACTCGGTCGTTAAGTGAGGAATACCTGTATGGTAATATCTAGGTTTGCAAAGGTGTTTGGTGCACACAAAGTAGATTAATGTGGCTATTAGAGATTTATTTAGATGAACATTTTCAACACAACACAAGATGATGTCAGCACTGGGGATGTTCTTAGAGAAATGCATTTTTTTAAATTTTGTTTAAATGCATTGTGCTGTCACGATCTGGGATCAGGCTCAGAGTCCAGTAGCTGAAACAGCAGTCAAATTCGTGGTATAACAGGCAGAGTTTGGTACACAAGCAGACGGCTTAAATTGGAAGTTTAAGGGAAGAGCAAGGAGTTCAGAGTTCAGCAGAAACTGGGTTTAACTGAGGATTACACAGGAGATCAGGCAAGGCACTATCCAAGGTTTTAAGGTGGCTCAGCAGGTAGAACCACTGCCAGCTACAGCAGAGGCCCTGGGCTCAGATCTGGGTTCTGACATCTGCACTGTTGTAAGAGAATGTTACATATTCTGTGTGTTTGTCCCATAGCCCCGGGGCCTATAATGTTTTATTTATTTGTGAGAACAGAATAAATGGTTAAAAAACAAAACTTGTACTTACACCCTCAGCTTGTGAGTTAGTGAGAATAAGTCATGTCAAGCTTTGTTTCTTCTGGAAAACAGGTACTCTCGGGGCAGTTCCTTAGTGACAAATCTGTGAAGACCTACGTAGAGGTGGAGCTATTTGGACTACCTGGGGATCCCAAGAGGAAATACAAAACAAAATTAACTTCAACTGCAAACTCCATTAACCCTGTGTGGAAAGAAGAGCCGTATGTGTTTGAAAAGGTACAACACGTTTACAATTGCCTGAAATTCTGCTGAGCCCGATTGATGAATATCTGGGACGTTGGCTTACATGTTTAGTAAATATATCTCAATGTCTTCTAAAATTAGGGATCACTGGAAAATTGCAAAATTTAGGAAAATAAATCATTTGTGCTACAGACACACCTAGCTTCTTGCCACTGATTTTATTGCAGTTAATAGAAATATTGTTGCTTTGCACAGGGCTTTCTGTTTAACACTACAGACATGCTTATAGAGGTAGAGAGCACAAAGATGACATCATTAATGTGCTGCTGCTCTTTTTTTGTCCAATCAGTGATTGCACTACTTGTAGTGTAAAAGAGGTTAAAGGAGAACTATGGGGTTAAGACTTTTCCCCATAGTTCTCCTTAAAGTGACGGGAGGACACAAACTAGCGTCCTCCCTTCACCCTAGGCTCAGTATACCGCGAGCTGTAGCTCGCGGTATACTGTGACGCCGCAGCTGAAGCTGATCCCGACAATTGTGCCGGGATCCGCCCAGCTGCGTGACTGACAGCTGGCTCTGCCTATCCAGAGGCAGAGCAAACTGTACCCGCCCCCTCCCCCGTCCGTTCCGCCAGTCAGGATCGGAGGGGGGAATCCAGCCCCTCCCGTCACGGCAGAGAGCCGTGACAGGATCGAGAGGTAAGCGAACGCCAGTATGTGTTCGCTCACCTCCCGATCTACTGAGCCGACCTGTGACAGTCTCATTGTCACAGGTCGGCTAGAACTATGAGGTGAGTGAAAAACACTCACCTCATAGTTCTCCTTTAAAGCTGAAGTTTATTCTGCTTATATTTTGTCATTCCTGGTTCCTCCTCCTCCCTCTCATCAACATGCTCATGAAATTTTAAAATAAAACCTTTCTGTATTCACTTCATACCTTTTTCATGCACATATCTAAATACCTTTATGGGTGGATGTTGGCAGAAGTGAACACTCCTAGGTAGGTTGCGCTTGTATGTAGACTGTCCTCGGTAACACCCATATGTGATGCTGAGCCTCCATGATTGAAATAAGTAAATTCCAATGAATGAAAGGAGTGGGCCAGGGACAGTCAGGCTGGGAAAGAAAGGCCTAGATGGTGTGGAATGTCATGTGATATGACTTGCTGCAGCTATTAATGTGCATTGTGAGAAACTCAGTGAGAGATAATTATACATTACAAAAAAAGATAAAATGCCTTCTATCTACCTCAGGGGTGCCCGAATGCTGATTAAGAAGAGGGGCTCCTAGTTTGAAATGGGGGGAATCTGATGTGAACGGGGGCTCCTGATGTCAATTTGGGCTCCTGATGTAAAGAGGAACTCTGATGTGAAAGGAGGGATTCTGATGTGAAAGGGAGGCTCTGGTGTGAAGGAGGCCCGTTATGTGAAG